TGCCTGGGGAGGAGAGGAGAGAAAGGGAGCCAGCATATGAAGACCCAGGGCCTGAACTCCATGGCCAGTTGTGACATGGGGGTGGAGAGGTGGAGGGGGAAATAGTCCTCATTTTATCACCAAGCTTTGGTAACACAAGAGGAAACGGACATAATGTAAAGGCCTTGCAGTGGGATAGTGCTCAAGTAATGGGAAACAACGCAGCCACCAAAGGTGTTGTGGTGGATTTTACGAGGTGGGGAGTGCCTGTGGGGGTGGTGGGGGTGGGGAGCAGGTTATAAGACGGCTCGCCCTGGCCCGAGCCTGTAGCAGGGGCTGGGTGCCCGCGTTCCCAGGTACTCGGAGCAGGGTGGACCGTGCACAGGGTTATCTCCAGGTGCTGGGATTCTAGGAGGTTTCCACCTTCTTCTCCGGGCCTCTGTATTTCCCCATTATGTACAAGAACCATGCAGTACGTTTGTTAGCAGGCTTTTTTCTGGCCCGAGTAGGACAATGATGACCCTCAGCACAGGGGTAGCCTCACTCCATAGCTTTCCTGGGACTCCACTTGGGGCTGGATTTTCCCGGCCATCTGGACGGGGTTTACTGGGCCAAGTTTACAGCTGGGCAAATTTACAGAGGGTTAGGGCAGAGCCAGGGGGCCCAGCTTGTCCACGTTCCCTCCCCTCGGAGGAAATGGCACACACGTCTGTCTGGCCCCTTTGCTTTCGTGAGCATGAGGTCTGAGGGATGAGCTGGGGGGGGACGAGGCCGGGACCGGGATTGCGATGAGCCACATCCGTCTGTGAGCCAAAGTCCTGGCGAGTCTGAGCCCCAGTCCTGCCCACTGAGGTCTCGGCCTTTCTCCCTCGATACCCATTTGGTTTCTGTGGTGGGAACAGCGACAAAGCCCTGGTGGGTTTATCCCACGGTTCTACTGTCCTCTGTCCCCCTCGTGCTGTGGGCAGCCCAGGGCGGCTGTGGCTGCCTAAGGAGCAGGCGCCACCCCAGCGTGTGATAAAGCTGACGGGTGAGGCCGCGAGAGACCACCAAGCTTGAGAGCTAGAAACGCCTTGCAGGCAAATGAGCCTGATCTCCCTTATTTATCGCTGAAGAGGCTGAGCCCAGAGCAGACTCACCAAGGTCACCTGGGAGCTGGTGGCAGCGCTCTGTTAGGGGTGGGGTCTAGGACCGGGTGCCCTGATTTCCCAGTCCATACACGTGCCACAGTGAGGTGGCTTGGTGCCGTAGGAATGGGGATTTCTATCTAGCCCTCCCTCTAGCTGCTGCATGACCTCGAGCAGGTCACTTCTCCGAGTTTCAGTTTCCACCTCCGCAAAATGCAAGGGATAGATGAAGGACCCACATGCGATGCAGACATCAGGGTGCCAAGTGATCTGCCAAGGACATGGGTGACTCAGGTCATCTCTAGGGCCAGAGAGTCTGTCCCAGTGTCCCTTTGTCCCTGCCTTTTGTTTGGAGTCTCCACAATGAGGTTCCTTGTCCATCCCCAGCAGTAGGGACTAAGGCCAGTCAGGAGGGTTTCTCCAGGAGGCCTAGACTTCCATCATTCATCCCAAGTGATTCCCCCTCTGTTTCTTTGCAGGGAGAGCCAGGTAACCCTGGACGGCCAGGGCCCGTGGGTGAGCAGGTGAGTCAACGCCGGTCTCTTTATTGAGCACTTACTCTGTGCCAAGCCCTTTGGTAAGCACGCCCCATGCGCCCCACATTCATTCCCATCCCAGCTGCAGAGGTAGGTTTGCTCGTCTCTCTCTTTCATTTATATGGACACTGCGTCTCAGGGAGGTTGAGTCACTGACTGAGAGCCGTGAATCATAGTCACAATGGCTGTTCCCCACAGCCTGACTCTGCGATGTTTCTAGGGCATTCTCCCAAAGAGGTGACGTGACTTTGCTCCCAGGACATTAAAACTGGAAGAGCCCTTTAGCGATCACTGCCTGTGTTGGACTTACAGATGGGGAAGCAAGCCGGTGACCAGAGAAGCATAGCCCCTTACCAGGGGCTCTTGGTCAGGCATCCCTAAATTATAGAGCAAATGAAATTCAAACCAGGGGTTCTGGCTAGTTGGGAAGCCTGGCCAAGGTCTGAAGATGAGAGGAGGTCGCAACTAGTTGTTTAAAAGGAGGTTTGAGGATCACAACCTTCATTATCAACGTCTTAGGGCCTTGGCACTGAAGAAAAGCAGCTTTGAGGGCTGGGTGGGCGGACAGGTGGGATAGTTGCAGACTCCTCCATTCCTTAAAGAAGGACCCCATCCCCCAAACCCTGAAAAGGGCTGCCTCGGTCCAGGAGGAGTGATGCTGGGGACCAGGAGAATTTGTCAATGGTGTGAGAGTCACACGCGATGGGCTTCCTCACCAGGCCTGCAACATCTGTTGGCAGGAAGAAAGGAATTATAGCAGGGGGAGGACTGGATTTTTTAAAACATTTCCAGTGTCATTTGAGCGCATTCTGTGGGAAGCCCAGGAGTTCGGAAGGGCTGCTGCGGCCTGGATGTGTTTCCTGATTGGAAAAAAAGGGCAATTCGATCAGCAAATTTAATTTCATAGTTATGCTGATGGTAGGGCCCTCAGGAAATAGATACTCAGAATCCTAGAATGTCAGAAGACAGAAGGTCCTTGGAAATCACTCTGTCCTGGGGTTCTAATGTTCTTTGTGCCTTGGACCCTGTTAGAAGGCTGGCGGTGCTCTTGGACCCTTTCTCAGAATAGAGTGTTTAAATGCAGAAAATACGAAACAAAGGATTATGAGGAAAATCACCTATATCAAAATCCAGTTATGAAACTATGTTCTATTCATAGATTGCTTCTTTATTAATGCAGTAAATAATGAGACCTAACAGCAGGTCTAATAAAAACCTCAATTTCAAAGTGGTGACGAACCTTAATGATGTATTTTGAAGCTTCTGCAATAATATGATGTGTCAATATCTGTGACAGTTACAGCCTCCTTACAATCACAGCATTGGCCACATTTATTGGGTACCTGTTAGGTATGAGGCTCTATGCCATACACTTTCTACACCATCACCTGCAATCCCCCCAACCCCTATGATGGTAGGTGTTATTACCCCATTTTGCACATGAGGACACCAGGCTCTGAGAAGTAACTTGCCCAAGGTCTCCCAGGCAGTAACATAACTGTCAGAGCTAGGGTTGACACTCAGGTCTGCTAGATTCCCAAGACCTGCCGAGAGGGACTGGGAAACCCTTGGGCCTCTGGCTTTCTAACAGCTGCTTAGAGTACAGCCTGCTTGCCAGGCCCTGTCCTAGGTGCTGGGGACACAGATGATTACAAGGCATGGCCTTGCCTTTAAGAAGCTCTGTCCAGGGGGAAGCCAGGCATGTAAGCACCTAACCCCTGAGATGCCTAGTCCATCAGAGGACCCATAACTGTCTCATTCCTAGTTGCCTCCCAGCTCCTAGTGGAATGTCATGTGAGAGAAGGGAGAGAGGCAGAAAAACTCCCATAGCAGACAGCAGCCCTTTACCTGTAGGCACTGAGGACCAGGCCAGCCTCCTCCCCCAAATCGGGGACTCAGATCCTGCCTGTGCAGTGCCCACTGTAGGTGGCAATACTGCCTCCCCCGTGTCCTCTTGCCAGCCCGAGAGGAGCCAGTGTGCCTGTGCCTGTCAAAGCTGCTTCTCCACCCGGCTGGCCCGGTAGAAGCCCTGGGCCTCTGCCACTGGCTTCCTTGCCAGCCTCGGCTGCACCCGCAGGACAGGCCTGCCAGGATGTTCTGGACAGTGCCCCATGGGGGTCCCAGAGGAGGGGGCAGGGCAATGGGGCACCTGCTGTATGGCACTTATTCATTAGGATCTTGTTTGGCTTCTTGTTTGAGGTTTATGACCCTCCTGCCTTCCAGGGCCCAACAACCCATAAATTTAAAGTAGCTATGAAATTTCTGTTTTCCCGGCCCAGTCGGGCAGGGGCCTCTTAACAGAGCCGCTTTTCTTTTCTCCACTCAGCATCCTCTAAATATCTGACTGCTCCCTTCTGGGGAGCTCAGGCCTCTGCCTTAACCCTGTGCCCTTTTAAAATAAATTAGAATGGGGTGGGAGGGGACTAACATTTATTGAGTGCCTACATGTGCCACGAATTATCTCTGGTACTCAAAACAGCCCCCCGGAGGTAGGCAGGGACCTTTATCTGAAGTTCTCCATTCTGCAGATGAGACTCAGAGAGGCTCTGTGATTTGCCCGGGGTCCACAACCCAAAGATTAACTGCCGATGGCATAGATAAGGTGCCAGGTGCCAGCCACTATTATTAATACTGCTATCACCTGAAAATGCTCCAATTTATTTTTTTTTAAATGTAAGTTGTTGTAAAAGTCAAATACTCACTTCTTTTTCTGTGATTTATTAGCCATGACCTCATACCTTGTACCTCACACTCTCACCTCATACTTCAACCCCCAAGGGCCTCTGAGCCCAGGGTGCCAGGACCCTCCCTGTGAAGTGATTGTGCAGGGGTGGGTGGGGGGCAGGGAGATCCGCGCCCTGCTTATGGCCTTATGCTTTGCAGGCCCCGATAGGGGGGACAGGTGCCTGGACTTTGGAACCACACAGCCCCAGGCTGCAGCAGCAGGACACACGTGGTCCTGGTCTGAGGTGCCCTTTTAAAACGGACCCTGAGACCTGCAGAGCCAACTCTTTGGAACTGGGTGTCATCTGTCACTTTAGTTGACTGGCAGGTCAGAGCTTCACTGGCTGAGTGCACAACTTCTGATCTAGTTCTGACCAGGTTCCAAGTCTCCTTCCTGGGTATAGTTTGGCGACAGGCAGCAGACATGATGGGACAAACCCACTCCTTCTGAGTCTTTCCTGATTCTCCCAGAAACTCCTGGCTGCAAACCTGGGTTCTTCCAAAGGCATTTTGGCGGCCCTGAGCCACCCAAGACCCTTCTCTGCTCTAATTTTCCTTAGCAGAGGAGAGTGTGGGATCCGGATAGGGACGTGTCCGCCTTCCGGGGTGACCCCTCTAGGTTGCCCACCCTTGCTGGGCACGTGTTTGCCTGCTCAGGGCAGCAGCAAGGCCGGCAGCCACCTAGACGAGCCCCTGGAACGCAGAGGCGAGTTATCACCCAGTGGAGTTAAAAAGAGCAGCAGGAACCACAGTGCGTGTGTGTGCGTGTGTGTGTGTGTGTGTGTGTGCACGCCCTTCAGGAAGGAGAGGAAGCCATTCACAAGACAGTATAAAAAGGCCTCCGCTTCCCAGATCTCAATCGGGTCTTTTGGCAGAGGCTGCTGTGGTATTTCTATCCTGGCCAGCAAGTTTGTTTCTCTCTTCGAAACAGCCCCAGATCCCTGAAAGATGGGGGCAGGTTTCTGATAGACAGGCCTCTTCCCAGCATAGCTTGAGAGCCTCCCCACCTCCACCACTCTCCTCTCTCCTCTCAAGCGTGGCTGCCTCCCAGCCTGGTCCTGGCGCGGGAAGAGTGTGTGGCGCTCCCAGGGTTGCTGGCAGCGGCCCCACCGCTTGGCTCCAAAATGAGAACCATCTGGCCCAGTGAGGGAAGTCAGGACAGTGCCGGGAGAGGCAACTCCCTCAGTGGCAGCCCCGTGCCGGCGGGATTACCAGGCACGGGGCAGGGGATGGAAGCCGCAGGGAAGTCCCCTTTGAAACCCAGCACGCCCCTGAATTCACGTAGCTCCCTCCTGTCTCGTGCTTTCATAAATGTTTCTTACAGGGACTTCTGGGATTCGTTGGTCTGGTCGGGGAGCCAGGAATCGTGGGAGAAAAGGTAAGTTGTGCCGAAGGGAACATATAAACAAATAGAGTGTGTGTTTTGCAATGTTAAAAACATGAAGGGGCCAGTTGACCTGGGGGTTTCAGATTTCTTTCTTCTGGCCTCTCCTCATTGCCCTGACATCCGGACCCTCAAAGAACCTTTGTCCCTTTTGTAACTGAGGCTCAAAGAGGGCAGGTGACTTGCACAAGGTCACCCAGCAGCAAGCGGCAGAGCCGGCATTTGAACCAGGTTCAGTAGCCAAGGCCGCGCTTTGCCCGCTAAGCCACTCTGCCTGGCGCCCAGCTCTCCCATAGCCTGTGGCTTCCTGC